GGATCTATTACACGTTCACTGTTTCAGTTGCTCTGCTTGTTTTACGAATGTCAGAACTCCCCTGATTGTATCCTTGTAACATCTGCAGGTTACGATACGTTAGTCATGTCTCTGTAACTACGTTAAGATGAGATGCTCTGGCACTGGGTGAGGGCACCTGGAATGAGAGTATGTGGAGGAAGGAGAGGCCGTGCATGGGCCGAGAGCAGTGAGGACCGATGGGGCCCCACGGGAGGGGTGCCACCCCCTGCTCTAGAGGGACGGAAGGCCAGCGCCATCAGAGGTGTGGGCGTGGGCCGAGGGCTGCTGCCTTGTTGACAGTGTATAAAGGCCAGTGTTTCTACATGAGTTATTTTTCCTCCTAAGCATATCCCAAAGTCTCTGAATGAATGAACACACCACTTTCCCTGTGGAGATTGAGGCCGAGTGTTGCCTGATTCCTGAGCCAAATGTTTCTCCCGCTTTGGTTTTCCTGAGGATGTTTTATGATCACCAGATGGGCTTTTTGGCACCCATGGGCTTTATGAATAACTGAAAAAGCATCTTCAAAATACATCCCACCTGCAACAGCGTGCCCTGACAAGCTCCCACCAGGAGACGGTCATCTCCTTTGGCCTTTGTAGATGTATTTTATCCTGCTTTAGTTTATTTCGCACACCTGGCACCAGTGAGAAAAATGTGCATTCAGCCTATGGCATTAGGGTCTCGCAAAAGTGCACAAAAGCAGACATTCCCTGAGTGGCCCTCCCCACGCCCAACCGGAGACGGATGCTAAGCCACTGTGAGAGGCCTCCCAGGAGGTGCTGTGTAGGTTTTGGCCATGGAGCAGCCTGCCTGCGAGGCTTTCTGGATGCTCACAGGAGGGTGGAGGTGTGCTGCTTGTCCCGGCTGTTCTGGGTCTTCACGGATCCAATAGTCCTGACTTCTGGTTCTCGCCGCGACGCTGATGAACTGCTAAATTACGTACCTTCTCGGGCTCGCCGGTCCCTCATCTGCAGAGCCGATAAGATCATGCCCACCCCACCTCGTGGAGCATGGGGAGCAGTCAGTGCCGTGTCCTAAGGACCTGCTGCCGCGCTGAGACACAGGACACACGCGGCCACCAGCCCCGCTCGGGGCGGCCTTTCTGCCGTGTGTGTGCGGCTTCTCCCACCACATGCATCCCACTTCCAGCTGTCATCCCTCGCAGTTGTCACCCGTGCTTGGATACAGCCGACTTCGAGAGACATGTTACTATTTTAGCATGTTAGACTGTATTTCTGAATTGCCCACAGAGATGCTCTTAATAGAAAAATTGAACACTATAAACAGAAACTCTGAAGTTCTCTCTAAACGCTCAGTTTGATTCACGATGCTCTGCCAGGCTCGTCCCATTCTTAAATACCCTCCGTCCTCATAAGTCTGCCCAGCTCCGCGGCGGTCTCCCCACGAGGCTGCCTTCGTCTGTTGGTGACTGTTTTTGGTCTTGTCTCCCCATTAGTTGTCATTCCCGTCTGTTCCCTGTTCTATTTGCGGTAGCCTGGGTTGGCAGGAGGACTGGCCGATAACGGCTGAGCAGAGCTTTCTCCCTGTCCCCACCTGCCCGCCTGGGAGCGGCCCCTCCTCGCTCAGCCCTGGCCCCATCCAGCCTCTCACCGCCCTCTGTTGCCTCCTCTCTGGCCTGGCCGCACACAGGCCAAGGGCTTCTCTGCTGCCTTCCGGAGGCCGGCTGCCGCCTGCCTCGTTGCCAACCTCTGTCCCCGTTTATCATTTATACATTGCTTTTCCATTCTTCATTGGATCAGGGGGCAGAATATTTTAGTCTGTGAAGGCAGAGAGTAGCTTTCTTAGTGTATATTTCTTCTGAGCTTGAAGATAACCGGTTTCTAAGGTTTCCCTGAGGTTTTGAGGTCTTTGTCAGAAAAGGAGGCAAATTTCAGGTCTAATTTTTAACCTCTTCGGCTCAGGGCCAACATCCCAGAGCCCTCCGGTGCCACTTCTCACCAGTTCCCTTGCGTTGGATCCCATTTTTGAGTCAAGCATGATGAGGTCGCAGGGTGCTGTGGGTTGCTCAGTCTCTGTGTGGTGGGAACGGTGGGTGCAGGAAGGCCCCAGCCTGTGTCTTGAGAGCCTGTGGCTTCAGGAGGAACCACCCTGCCTGCCCCACCCTTTCTAGATCAAGTCTTAGAAAGACTCTTTGAGACCCTGCCGACGTCTCATGTCCATCCTTTGGATCTGCTGCTGCTGCTGAAAGGTCTCCACCTCTCACTAAGGCTGCATCAGAGCCTCTCCGGGAACCACCTGGGGTGGAGAGGGAAGAACAAATAGGTCCTCTGCTCAGGACATTGCCCGCTGCAGCATAGAGCCCCTGGACCCTGCGGAAAGGGCGTGTGCAGTGTGGTTACGGGTGTGGAATGAGGCCCACAAGAACCCCAGGCCTCTGGGAGCCAGCAGCAAGTGCGTCACTTGCTAGTGATGGAGGCTTGCCCAGGGAGGGGTGAGGTGTGTTGTACCCCAGGCCGTGTGTGGGGAGTGAGGGGAAGGCATTTAAGTCCATTGGGTGCCTGCCTTAACTCAGCAGGGACGGCCTCGGGGGCTCCCTGACAGGCCCTGCTGAACCTGGTGTCTAGGGTCGGAGGCCCAAGAGTGTGGGGTTTGTGTTTTGCAGATGTCTGTGTTCGTGATACTGGTACCGTTCACAGCAGGCACTGTGGTGTTGTGGAGGGCGTTATAGATTATCCCCATGGTGCTGGGGGAAGGAGGAGAAGGAGAGAAAAAGCTCATTTAAACCTCACGGCTTTGGATTGACTTTTGCAAATGGGTCTTTGCACAGGGACACATGATGAAATTTCAGTTAATGGAGAATCAAGTTGATCTTTGAATGTGACTTTGGGATGATGGAATTTTCGTTGACCATGGTGTGTAAACTGCCAAATTTGGCCTGTGATTTTTTTCATTTACTTAAGTTGTGCTGTGGGTTTGTGACTTGCTGGGGCCTTTGACGCTGCTGTGGGGGCACGGTAGTGAAATTGAGAAGAGCCTGGTCCTCAGGGGTTTAGGTCATGTAAGGGATCTCGGGCATGCGTATCGATTGTTGTCATAATCATAACAGCAATTTTTGTTGCACGTTCGCCAGGTCCCAGCCTCGTGACAGACGTTCCACGTTCTCTGGCCTGTCTGAGTCCTCCAGGCCCTGCCTTGCAGCTGGTCTTCCTGGACGCAGGGCTGCCTGGGGCGCGGGCGGTGCTGGGGTGCCGAGGAAGTAGTGTTGTCCGCCAGGGCGGCTGGGGACACGTGATGACAAAGTGGGGTGTCAGGATCCACGGAGATGGTGGTCACAGGCATACAAAGCGAGGAGACCAGGGTGGGGTAGGGCCGACAGGGAGCGTGTTTTGGCAGAAGAACCGCCCAAGTCCGGTCGCGCACACAGACCTGATGGAAGCTGGGCTCTGGTCCCCGGAGCCACTGTGTTTCTGTTCTGCGCTTCGCTCAGCATGTCGCCCTCTGGGGTCCCCACCCAGAGCTTCTGGGGCTTACCGCCCACACCCCTCGGGAGCCGCCGAAGGTCCCTGTTTCCCCACCACGTCCAGGGAGTGTGAGCAGCTCTCCTCGGACTCTCAGTCCCTCTATCCATTCTCCAGGAGCCGAAGGTGCCTCTGGGGAAGGCTGATGCCCGGATGGTGGTCTCAAGCTCTTCCCGGTCTTGTTAGCCCTCCAGTACCTTGAAGAGGCTTGAGAGCGGCTGTGTTCATGCCCTCTAGGGGTTCTCGGTGGCCGGGTTGGTCTGACTGGTCCTGCTGTGATCAGGAGGCGCTCCTGAAGTGCTGTTGGTCCCTGCCGAGTCTGAGCTGCTCGTGGGGTCCGTGCTCCCCTGCTTGCCGGTTGGGTGACGCGTTGGCGCCTGGCTCGCGTGTCGCTGAGTTTTGGCGTTGCTCTGCCGCTCTGTCGACTTTCTGCTGGGATTCGAGGGATTCATAAACTGTTCTGCAGCCACTACCTGAGATTGTGTTTTGGGTCTGCTGCTTCTCTGCTTAATGCAAATCATTTAAAAACTAACTCTTCATGGCGATGCTCCCAGCAAACGTTTCTTCACAACTGGTGGTCTGATTTAGAAGTGCCTCTAGTTGATAACTGAGTCAGTGCTTTGGGGGGCACAGAAGATACTTATCTGCACTCCTGTTAGCAGTGTTTATGGTCTGGAAATGAGAGCGGGTGGCATTCTTCTTCAGCCTCGTGTGGCCATCGTGCTGCCCAGCGGGCCTTCGAGTAGCCCAGGGAGTCCGGGAGGGGCGTGACCTGACCGACGTTCCCGGGGAGGGACTGCTGTGGGGGGTGTGGACGGGCACGTGGGGGGCAGCCCAGGAGGCCTTCTCCGCTGTCCCGGAGGGAGGTGGCGGGACCCAGACCCGGGTGGTAGCCTTGAAGGCCGTTTTGGGAAGCACCTTGAGAGCTAACAAGACTTCTGGGCGGGTGGGACGCAGGTGTGAGACCACGGACTTCAGGGTGAGTCCCAGGTGAGGCCGACAGGTGATGTCAGGTACTAGGAGAGAGAGCCGGTGGTGGTGGGCGCTCTCCAGGGGTCCACACAGTCCTGTGACCCAGTCGTGGCTCCTGGGGCTGGGAGAGGAGGCGGCTTGCAGACTGAGTTAGGGGGCAGGGTGAAGCCAGCCTCGGGAATGCAGGCTTCCGGAGAGGCTCATGCAGGCCGGTGACGGCGGGGGGTCCAAGCACAGGCAGCCAGGCCGGGGCGGGCAGTGACGAGGGGCCAGGGCCAGGCCTCGCGCCGGGCGGTGGAAAGGCACCCAGCCCTTCTCAGGGGTGGCCTGTCCTCAGCTTTGGTCTGTAGCGGGTGTGACCGCATGCACGGGAGATTCACCAGGCGGCTGGCCTTAACACGAGACGGAGCAGCAAGAACACATCGGAGCACTGCTCCAGATGCTAGTGATCTTTGAATGAAATCTACATTAAAAAAAAGAAATCGGATCAAGCTCTGACTCACGATTCTCTCTTCCTTTTTTCAGACGGCATCAGTGTGAGCGGCTTTCCGCTGTGCAGCCCCTTCCGCCAGGTGGTGAGGCCCCGGGTGGAGAGCAAGCCCGTGAACGCGGCCGAGGGCGGCCGGCCCGGGGAGCCGGGCCACGTGAAGGTGAGTCGGCCCCAGCAGCCCGCCGAGGCACTCGGCGCTCCCGGCTTCTGCAGGGCCTCTCGGTGGCAAAGTTTGTGTGCTTTTCAGAAAGGAGAGGGTGTATCTGCCGACAGATGTGTGTCCATGGGAAGCCAGTGTCTCAGTGTCTCTCCTTTCCCGTGAGGTTCGGGAGCCTGTCACACCGGAGCTCGAGTGCTTTATGTGCTGCTGCTGCTGATGCGGGCGTCCTGAAGCCGCGGGAATTCGCGGGTTGAATGGAGGACTGTCCTGACGGAAGTAGGACATCGCCCGCCTTTTTCTTGTTCACTTGAAAACTGTACCTGTTGAGTCACCATTCTCAGTTCAGGTGTTTATCGCAGAAACGCTTCTTAATCCTCAGGCAGCTCTTTCCGCTCGTTGGTTTGTGCGCAACAAGGGAGGCAGAGGGAACACAGTAAGGAGCGGGTGTTAGCGTGAAGGTGCCGGGGGCAGAGATGAGCTGTCTCCTCTGAGTGCAGAGAGAATCAGGGCCAAGCGCATTGCCGTCGCGCCATTAGCTTCCGGGGGGCGCGGTGGACGCCTCTGCCCAGGCAGAGTGTTTGCAGTGCGGGCACCAGCGTCTCCACAGCTGTGACCGGGGTGCAGGCGCAGTGTCAGCCACAGTGACGTTGGGCAGGCCGCATGCAGGCCCAGCCTCTTGGGGCGCTGCTCACACTCTCCACATCTAACAGGGGCAGTGCCTGGCTCAACCTGTCAGAGGAGGCTGGCCGCACCGCCCGTGATTCAGCAGGTCAACAGAGTGTGAGCCACGGGGGCTGGTCCTGATGAAACAAGACGATGCTGGAAGTGCCTCGAGGCCGCCTGCCGTGAAGCTGTGGGGGGTGGGGACCATGCCTGTCTGGGTCGACAGTGGGCGCATCGGTGGGTGAAGGGCTCAGGAGCTGGGTTGGGGGAGTCTCTCCGCTCAGGGCTCTGCAGGGAGGAGGAAGGAGGCTGGTAGGACTGAGGTCCTTTGTCACTTAGACCCTTGCTCAGAAGCTTGAGGGCTGTGCTCGGGCTCTCGTGCCTGCCCAGCGCCCTAGGGTATGGGAAGAAGATCTCAGCGGAGGTCCACAGGCGCAGGAGGCATGGGACCAGGGGCATTGGAGGGCTTGTCGGCAGGGAGCCGTGGAGGGGAATCTGGGGAGGTGGCTTCCTCCCAGGGTCCCGGGTGTCTCTCCCCTGCCATCTTGTGATGACCGCCGCCGTGTCCCTCCTCCCGGGTCAGGCCCCTCAGCGTCGTTCCATTTGCCTTTGCGGTTGGCTGTGTGCCCCACTCACTTCCGTCTGCTGTTGGTGGTGGCGGGGGCGTGACTGTCCTTTATCCACATCACACACGTGGCTGCTCTTCGAGCTGTTGGCGTGCAGTCGGGCGGGTGTGCTGACTTGCGGAAGCCTTTGTGATGGGAAGGAGCCGCCTGGCTTGTCTGAGGTCTGTGCTTGGCGAGGGGTGCGGTGAGTCTGCACCTGTCCGCGGAGGTCCAGATGTGCCCCCGTGAGGCTCGGCGGGGCAAGGGTGTCCGTGGCTGTTCTGTGCTTCTGGGGCCATCGTGTGGGTCCTGGCACCGCTGAGTCTGTTGCATCATCCTTCTCCCCAGAGCAAGGACAGCTTTAATTGGGAACATGCTAAACCTGTAAAATCCTCGCTGAGGAACGGTGTAGTCATGGAAACAAGTAATTCAGTGACAGCGGCTTCTGGGGAGCCCCTCCGGAAGTGGGGAGAGGGAACATGTATTTCCTCAGACTCCCACGGAGAGTTGCTCCCCGCTCAGCCACTCCATGCCTGTCCACCAGCCCAAAAGACCCCTCGGGTTGGAAGCAGATGGCGTGGAGGTGGCTGCACGTGAGACGTCAGGTTGTTGTAAGCAGGCTCCTCGGCATGGCCTGTCTGACCCTTGGCTGCTCCGTCTGCAGGGCAGCAGCAGGGTCCAGGGGCATGTCCCGGGGGAGCCAGTCATGCCGGCCACTTTCCGGGCAGCGAACGTCTGAGCGGAGGACGCTGGCAGTCCTGCCCCTGCCTGCAGGCCGCCCCCTGAAAACCGCTGAGCCCCAGTCCCCTCACCTGCAGCTGGGGAGAAAATCCTTTCTTACAAGGCTGTTAGTGAAGATCTGGTGAAACCATCCTTGGGCAGCTGTTTTATTAACAGCAGTGCATAGGTTGTGGGGGAGGGACAGAACTGGGGGCTGCCTGGACGGGCGAGTCGAGGGGCCTGGTGAAGGCGTCCCTTGGTTACAGAGCAGGTGGAGCCAGGCTGCGTTGCCCACCCGGACCCTGCCCGTCTGCGTCCTGCCGTCTGGGTGTGCCGGTTTGGCCTCCTCCTCCTGCGCCTCTCTTGTCAAAAGGACAGGTGATGACTGCATCCATTAATACAGGCCCGTGAGCACAAAACTCAGAGGAACCTTGGAAATTAAGAAGTGAGTCTTAAATCCAACAAGACTGTTCTCAGTAGCTGTTCAGGTTGTCTGTGAACAGAGAGCTTTACTTCTTCCTTTCCAGGCAAGATAACTTATTCCTTTTCCTGCTTTATTGTACTAACCATGTGCGTGATTGTAGAGATGAACCATTCCGTCTTTCATCATTAAGTGTGATGTTAGCTGTAGCTTTTCCACACACACCCTTTATCATATTAAGGAAGCTCCCTACAACCATTGCAATAAACAAGCAAAAAATTATAGTTAATAAACCAACGAGGAAGATAGAAGTTGAATCAGAAATAATATTTAATTAGTTCAAAAGAAGGAATAAAGAGAGGGCAAAGGAAGCAAAGGAAAATGGGACAGAAAACAAACAGCACTTAAACTACATCAGTAATAAACTTAACCACATCAGTAAGCAGATGGAAAGTAAGTGGTCTAAATACTCTGATTGTGGGTAGAGTGTCAGATTGGATAAAAAACCAGGACCCATCTCCAGTTGTCTCCAAGTAATGAATTTTAAATATAAAGACAAAAATAGGTTGAAACTAAATGGATGGAAAAAGATATACCATTCTTACACCAATTTTGTGGCATTATGGGGAACAGAGAAAAACAAACTTCAGAGCAAAGAGTATTAAGGTCTTTTCATAATGATGAAGGGCTCAATTTTTCAAGTTTAAGCTATAAATATTTATATACCTGATAACAGAGCTTCAAGATACATGAAGCAAAAACTGATAGAATTGCAAGAAGAAATTAATCTAGAGTGTTCAATATCCTTCAATTATTGATAGAACAAGTAGACAGAAATGAGTAAAGATAGAGAAGATTTGAACTATACTGTCAATCAGTTTGACCCAGTTGACATTTATAGAACACTCACCAGTCGAGTACAGAATACATGTTCCTTTCAAGTGTACATGGAACAGTTACCAAAGCCCACCATACTGGGGTTGTGATAGTTAGATTTTGTGTGTTAGCTGTGCTCGGCCGTGGCGCCTGGTTGTTTGGTCAAACGTGAGTCTAGATGTGGCTGTAAAGCAGTTTTGGAGATGTGAGTAATATTTACAACCAGTTGATTTTAAATAAGAGATTATTCTTAATAGTATGAGTAGGCCTCATCCAACCAGTTGAAATTGTTGTTGTTCAGCTGCCAAGTTGTGTCCGACTCTTTGCGACCCCATGGACTGCAGCATACCAGGCTGCTCTGACTTCCAGAGAAGGAATACTGCCTCAAGGCTTGACATAGCTCCCGAGTGAGTTTCCAGCCTGTCAGCCTGCCCTGCAAATCTCAAACTTGCCAGCCACCTCAATCACATTGGCCAGTTCCTTAAAATAAATCTCTTTGTCCAGATGTACACACAGGAGCTGCCCACACTAGTGCCCTGTTGGTTTGTCTTTCTGTTTCTCCAGAGGCCATAGACATACAGAGGGCCACAGAACACATCTCAATAAATCTAGACGGAGTCTCATTTTATAAAGCATATCCTGACAGTAATAAAATTAAATTAGAAACCAGTAACAAAAAGTCTTCGAAAAGCCCTCAGACATTTGGAAACAAAATGACACACAAATAACCCGTGGGTCAAAGTATAGATAAAAAATTAGAAAGTATTTGGGAATGAGTGAAAGTGAAAGCGCAGCATATCATCTGTGAGAGGGTGCTGAAGCAGCGTTTCTGGGGAAATTGATAATACTCAATGCTCGCGGTGGAACAGAAGCCTGGCCTTCAGTCAGTAAACCTCAGCCTCAACCAGAAGAAAGCAGAAAAATTGTGGAAGTTAAACCTGAGGTTGAAAAGGAAAGAATAAAGACCCACAAAACCCCTGCAGCCCAGTTTGTACTCAAAGGTGAAAGCTGGGTGTGCGTCCCCTGTGGTCAGCCACACCGGCCGCTGCCAGGCGGGCCTGCCCAGTCTGTTGGTGCTGGCTCTTTGATCAGAGGGCCTCTCTCAGTTCCTTGGACCCCTGGCGCTCTCCAGTCCTCTTCCAGGGCCGAGTTCTGATGTCACCCTCTCTGCCAAGCCTTTCAAGGGTGCTGGTGCTCAGTCGCTGCCGAGCGCCGTCCGAATCTTTGCAACCCTGCCAGGCTCCTCCGTCCATGGGGTTTCCCAGGCCAGAATGTTGGAGTGGGTAGCCATTTCCTTCTCCAGTGGATCTTCCCAACCCGGGAATTGAACCAGCATCTCCTGCTTGGCAGGCAGATTCTTTACCACTGAGCCACCTGGGAAGCCCCTGGGTTCCCTGTAACTGTGAGCTCCTTGTGGCCATGTGTCCTTCGGGAGACCTTGCTGGCTCTGGATATTTTAGAAAGTGAGGTCACACATCCCCTCTCCATAGGAGTTCTCTTTTCTCCAAAGAGGCTCTCTCTGTTAGTGAGGCAAACTAGGGCTGCAGAGTAAGTGTCTTCTCTCTCAGGGTAAAGTTTGAAATTCTTTAGAAGCCTGATGACATTCAGGTGATATCTTATGTCCTGTTAAATATTTTATTTTACTTTAGCCTTTATAGTAAAGAACAGTAGGATGTTCTGTTTTAATAATTGTATTTATAAAAGGACTGACCAGA